ATGTTGGTGTTAATTCCTCCATTTTTTCGATGCATATGGCTTTGGAAGTAAAGATACTTCTTTAATTCCGGCGTTTCAGCTTCCGGTAGAGAAGCTATCATCAGGGAATTTTTCCACGATGCAATGTGTCTATTTATTTGCTAAATTAATCGTTCAGCAATTGTATTAATTTTTACTCTGTTTATCGCGTGCTTACGAACATCAGTTGTAGGAAGCCGTTTTCGATACACCGTTTGGGACCGAACCTTGCCTATTTATTCTAGCATCGAAGACCTGGACCGATGCGGCATGAAAGCTATTGAAACACTCGATCCTGCAGTATTCGACGAATATCTGACGCGAACGGGAAACTCGATTTGCGGCCGGAATCCGATTTCAATACTTTTACAGGTGCGCCTGGTTGGATGGTTTGGTTTTCAGAAAAAACGTAACATTACTGTACTTATTATAGTTAATTAAATTCGGAACCCATGTTGACAGCAGAAATCTTGACTAACTGCACGATTACATGATCCCTTGTAATCATGTTTTGTCAAATTCAAAGGGTCCACCGATCTCATATAATGGTGGCACCTGAAACCGACAAGTGTCCTTATAATTTTAAGATGGATTTTTTATGAAACTGGATGGGGTATTCAGAAACAGGGGATGAGCGGCTACGTTTATTCCAGAATGGGCTGTAATGCGGCATCATTTCGTTTGCTAAATAAATACGTGCAGGGACCATCAAACCTTTGAGCTGAAGATGAAGTTCGTATGTATAAAATTGTAAAAATTATTATACTCTGCTTTTCTTCAGGGTCTTTTCTCACCCAGTTACCCTAATCACGAAGGTCATGTTCTGATTTAAGTATGGAATCTAATGAAAGAACGAATTACGTTATGGTGCGCTCTTTTTAAAGATGATTGCTCTTGAACTCAGATGAATCGGCAGAGTATATTCTGGTGGAAGTGAATGTTCTTTTCCTCATCAACCCTGGGCATTTTGTCTGTTGTTATGCTACTACGATGGTATTATGTAGTATAATTCCAGTGTAATGATGTGACATAAGATTGTATTATACCGTAATACAATACTACATAGTGACACATGCGATTATATGTTGTGACGAATACTAATGTTATGTATGTTTCTGTACTACTACAGTATGCCATTACTCTGTTTTCTGTTATACTACAGGTTGGATATCCCAAATCTGAAATCCTAAATGTTCTGAGATCCGTATCATTGTATTAGCTTGCATCTGTCCTGAACTTTTTGAACTGTCTTTGGATAGTATGAGCAAGGGCCTAACACCTTTCCCGTCCCTTTTCTTCTCAACCTTCCATCGGCAGTGGTGTCCTGTGATACCCGGTTAATCGGTAAAGAGCCTCCCTCTGCCCATAACGAATGCCGGATGGTCAAGCATTATCGGAAGTTCTCTACGTCCCATTTGTTAGCGCACTTGATCACTATTCATTTTGTCTGCGAGGTCATACGGGAGAATACGTCAAACAACCCTTTTTAGTGCTTCCATTTTATTATGGAAACAACCGTATAAACCATAACTTTCACCCTCTCTTCCTTCTACTTCCTCAACTTCCTTTCCTCACAACCTATATTAACTACATGGAAATGTCTTTCTGTACCTGATAATGTTGCACTGCAGCGAAACTCTGGTCGTTTCAGTATGTGGAATAATTGAGTTTCTTTTTTGTGATTTGTAAGGTGCTGCTACCCTGCTTTCTGGAACATCCGTAACTTCAGTCTCACACCAGACAACCTTTCAGGATATGAACTCTTTTTTGGGTCATAAATATTTTTATTCGGTAGAAGCAGATTTGTTACTTTCTGTGTTCAGGTGGAGAATTTGAGTGAGAAAACGTGTTAAATAGTTTTATAGATTATATTTCGGAATTTTGTGACCCGTGGTGAGTTTTTCATCGATTCTCGTTTCCTTATAGGCACGCTTCTACCGAATGAGAGAAAGTTTTCATCACGGTCCGGTTTCTTAACACGGCTGTGTCATGGGTATGAAGTAATCAAGTTAACCATGAAACTTTGGTGCTTAGTATTTGTGATTACCATGCTAATTTTTGTGAAGGTCTAATTTTTCTCACTTCTGTTCTATTCCATCATATCATATATTCCAAAATCCGAAACAGTCTTGGTCCGAAGCATTTCGGATTAGGGATACTCAACCTGCAATATGACGGCATTATACCTTATAAACATATTTCTTCACTCACCAGATTTTCAGCATATATATTATGTGTTCGTCCTGGAATGCTTGTATATCACATCACCTGTACTTGCCAGACTAATTTCTTCTTTTTCAGACGGTCGCCCATTTTCGTCAGATGTCGAAGCAGCGCGTTGTTTGTAGGTTTTTGAATTATGCTCAGTCGAATCGATGTGAGACGATGCAGGATTCGTCCGTGAGCTATGCCGCTGGAGCACTTACGATCGACTGACAGAAATCTTGGATTCATAATTAGTGATCTTAGGGCACGAGGATTTTGGATAAGGCAGCATTCATGTAGTGAACTTATTTTATGTTTGAAACTTGTTAATTTAATGTTTGGGCACGATGTGAATTTTTTCATGTGTCGTTTCGCATTTTATGCCGCCTTCGTATATGTCGACGAATTTTCAGTTCATGAGCTGAATGTACATAAGTGGAGGTTTATGCTTCGGTATGTGGTGTAAAGTGTTCGGATGTTTTTTGTTTGTTTGCTGTTACCTGTTCAGTTTTATGGATGCAGTTAATTCAACGTTCTATGTTTTAATCAAATTTTATATTTTGTGTTCGTTTAATAAAAATAACATAAACATTAATACGCTTTTAACTGTAGATGCAGTAGTTTCTGGAATCCTTACTGCTACTTCTTTCGACTCAGTGTTTCGAATCATTGCATTTTACTTTTGTGTCATTGCTGTATTTATATTTTTTATCACTTAATTTACGTATATTCATAAAAAAATTAGTATAGTTCCATGATGCAAACGAAGTATATTATTTCGAATGGTCTGAGGCTATTATTGAGAAATACTGTAACTTTGAAGACGGATCGAGTTTGGTTAGAAATTTCAATGTATTATAACGAATAGTTGTAACTCTGCATCTTCCCTCAATTTGACATTTCGCAACGTATGCGGTAGGGCAAGATCAAAGCGGTACACAAAACATGTGGGTAAATTTGACCCATGTTAGTTGACGATTCTGTGCTATTTGTTTGATATAGACTGCCATAATAGCAAGATTCATGTTCTTAAATTATAAATCTCACATTCACTCGTATTAAAATTATCTTAATCGTATGCTATTTCTGAAGATGGAGTATTTTGTTCGTGCGTTGGTGATCATACTGAAAAATGTGTTAAAACGGCTTTGTTATACACAATGCAAGTTGGTCAATCACTGTCGATGTTTCGTCTTTCAGGAGCGTTCTTCAGGGTGATCTGGGTTGATTTCCGCAATTGATTCTGTAATCCGCAGCTGTTGTGACGTTTAGAGCAAAATGAGTTATTTTGATCCATATGGTTAAGTAGTTTTGCGGCGATAGGCTTGATAAATCCTGTTCAGTCCATGCTTAGTATCCTTTGTACCAAGTCCCAGTTGAGATTTTCGCTGGATTGAATAACGAAGGCTTGATTGATTTATCTGTTTAGTCAGTTTATTTCTTTAACGGTTCCCGTGCAATCAGACGCTCTCTGATGGTTTGACAAACCTCTGCACGGATTGGATATACCTTATCGAGCCCGAGACAATTAACATTAAGGGATTTTTAAAAAGGTGTTTGAAAAGCAAGGGCTTGGTGTACTTTACAAAATTTGTGAATCTTTTGGTTACATTTTCTACAAAAAATGACCTCATTCAACTGTTCCCAGCAGAATTGATTGGTCATCCCAATTTAACTGTATTCAGTACAATTTGATTTGTTGCCGAAGAGAATTCAACCGCATCAAAACTTGATGAAAGGTGCGTCAAAAGCATATGGAAAGATCGACATTGAGATAGTGCTTAAATTAAACCCTTAAGTTCAGCGATATATTAATAAAACGATTATGAACGGCACCGGTGAGGGTTTCTTACAAAGGATTCTTTACGTACTTGCCAATATAAATAGATGCGCAATATCTAGGAAAGTTGTGTAACGTTTAAACTTCTGTCATAAAGTACTCATTAGTTTCTTATCCTTTTCGTTCTCCTGTTCCTTTTGACGAGAATCCGCTGTTCGAGGCAATGGCATTCATGTTTTTCGGTCACTGGTCAAGAAATCTTTCACTCCTCAGCTATTGCTTAGAGCACAATTAAAAATTACCATCAAATCGTCTGATCTTTCATTTGGCCGAACCAGCGGAACCTGGTTTCTGTCGCTTTCCCATAATTGATGTTATGCCGGAAGTGCCCTATATGAAGGTGATTCGGATATGGTCATTTCCCGGCGCAAAAGGTTTATCTGAGCATTCACATTTCTGTGGGATTCAACTCTTATGTCTTTTCAGCGTATGCACAAGCATAACTTTTCATTTAGCTTGATGGGACTTTTGTTTATCGATCCTTGACCAACTCTGTTTTTTCACCGATTTTTTAATTCACCGTTGATTTCTCCACTATCTTGTATGATGGAATCAGAATACTCAAGTTTTCAGTATGAGGCAGTACACTTTACTGCCCGTTAATTTTAGCAATTCGATTTCTTTCCTTCTGGCTTCCACTGAAATTTTCCGCCGTGTATTTTGATTTGCCAACGCGGACAAATGCAAAAGCAGTTTTCTTCAAGAAATTATCTCAGTGCTTCATTTCTTGACTGATTGTTTCGCTGCCGTTGTTACTTAGCCCCATGTCATTTGCATACGGCAAGTAACCTAGCACTGCTTCCTGCAACTTCGATTCGTTTGACCGAGAATAATCTTTTTGATTTTTGCATTACGTTTGTTCTATTCTGTGATAATTGATTTTATGCTGCGCTTTTTGTATATTTATTTCAATTATTAATTGACATGCATTGTACTTTGAATCTTTGTGCTTTCATGCCAAAATATCGGTGTTAAAATCTTTCTTACGCGCGTCTCTAAACTATTCTTTCTAAACGATATGGGATTAAACTGTTTCATTCATAAAAGATTTTCACAGACAACAATATAAATTTTTTAATTTGTACAGATTTATCTAGGTCTTCGCGTGTTTTCGGTTGCCGATGAATATTTTAATTATTCAACCGAGAAACGCGGTCATGCCATTTGCCGTCGTCAACGGCATGTATAAGTCTTATCGGGTTAGAAGTACTACATAACTTGTTCTGTACCTGCATTGCACAGTTTGTGTACGGTTTAATCGGGGCTGCTGCATCGATCGACCGTCGGACGCAGAGCCGAGAAATCAAAAGTTCGAGCTCTTAATGAATTACTCTCCTTTCTTTCTTCTGATGTTGATAGATGAGTACCAAGCTGCGGAAACGAAACAATACACTATACTTGTCATATGACTGTTATCGACCATGCCTTTTAAATAAGACACTCTTGGCCGATGGCATGGAAATGGAGACCAGTGCCACACCACTGGTTTCATTATATGAAAGGCGCGAAAAAAGGCCCATCATTAAAGCGTAAGGAAGGTCGGCAATCGAGCGGTTGCCAACTTCCCTTTTTTCATATTGTTTGATAATGAGCATGATTATTTGTATTCTGCATGTGGGAGTGTGCCTGATTTGTAATCACGTATATCGGCTGATGTCAGACGTTTCCGACTTTTCTTTGAAAAGCTCAGCTCTTTATTTTTCTCTCAGCTGCGCATCGACAAATTCGGTAAAGTACCGACAAAAATGGAGTATTTTCTTCGTGCACTGAGTCATACGTTAAAAATGATCTTGGGCGACAACACTTCATCTTCATCTTCCATCGCCGCTGCTCCTTTCGGGTCGCGAAGGCAGACGCGTCAGACAGTGCTTCCAACGTTCCCGATCCTGTGCCAGAGTCT